AAGTTAACCCCCCCCCCCCCCCAAATCCATATGTACAAGCAACAATTAAAGTGTAAGTCTGTGTGTGCTTGGAAAAAAAATGTTTTCTCAGATTGAGTCCTTTTTGTTAGAAAAATAAAAGTTTGCGAAATAAGATTGTTGTTTAGCATAACAGTTAAAATTTATAAACAGTTTGTTTTTCCAAAAAAAAAAGTTGCTTTTATGAATATGAAAATTTAAAATTTATGATCATTTTTTTTATGTTGTATCCAAAAAAAATTAAATATCACAAACTCGTTTTTTTTTATTTATAAAATTACCCAAATAAATCATATTATAATCATAATCAATTATACATGTAACTAATTATTTAATTATTGAAATGATCTAAATTTCTTTTAAGATCTTTCTCAAACAGACACTAATTGCCATTTTTGTGTCTTCAGGAGGTGTGGACACTGTGCAGGATATTCAAACGCACCCCATCTTTCAAAAAGTACACTCCAAATTTGAAAGAGTCAACAACACCTGTCACCAAACCAAACCCTGTGAATTCCAACACATGCACCCTAGATTCTGAAAATTGCAAGCCATATTTGATTTGCAGAGACCCCCTAGGGATGCAACAAATAGAAAGAAAACCGGTTATTGGACAGGTTGATGAAAAGAAGCACTTGTTTCTGGGCCAGTTTGCCCCAATACCCCATCATCATCAGGCCCCACCAAACCCATACCCAAGTTTTTGGAATCAGAATGTTGAGGACTATGCATTTGCAAATGAGAATTGGGATGACCTAAGATCTGTGGTTCAGTTTGCAATTGATCCATCCACGGTGTTTGATTGTACAGAAGCATATGTTCCACCCTACTTTTCTTAGGTTGGACTGAGTAACATTCTTAGATATATATGTTATGTATGATTATGATGTATGTATGAACATATATAGAGGCTACACTTGTCATTGTTCTCAGTTTTTTCATTTCTTGAATGAACACCTATGTGTAGAACTTTACTGGTTTTACTATGTTTTGTTGTAAAACCTAATATTGACTTGTATCTTGTCGTTTATATCCCTTTTCCCATTGATTGGGTCAATAAATATATACGTTACCTTGATTTATCAATTTAGTTTACTTGGCTATTATATTATTTATTTTATGGGTTCAATAACTATTATATCGTTGAAATAGCTAGGCATGATGATATATATAATTCATCACAGGTTCTTTTTTTTTCTTCAAGTATTTTTCCCCATAAGATGAGTGAAAGATTAATTTCAATATATGAAGTAGGCAGACATCACTTACAAATTTAAACAAATAATCTTGTTTTTTTTTTTTACAGAAATTTAAACATATATAATTGAACACGACTACACAAGTATACAAAAAATTTAAAACATGAGTATCCCAAATAAAAAAATTTGAGAAAATGATACGAAGCATTTGTCAAGATGATAATAAACTTTGTGGTTGGGACTTGGGATTATCCCATTAAAGATAGTCGTCCAACTTCATGGATATAGAAATTAGTTATTATTAAAATTAATAAATATTTTATATTAATAACATAATTACCCAAAAAATTTAATGAATTCTAAAGTTGACTAAAAATTATACTTTACCCCATTAACAATGATTATTCATAGTTAAGTATTTTTGAAAAGAAAAAAAACCATCGATTATATATTAATTATTGAATACTTATATACAGGGCATGACAAAAAGATTTTAAAGACTATTGTAAACTTTCTTACATTAACAAGTAGTTGTGCATGTTTTCCTTCTATTTGTTAAGAAATAATTGTCATTTTTTTCAGGTTTAAAATTCTCCTATTGTAAATTATGTTCCAATTCCAATATTTCTCGGTTTAAATTTCTCCTATTGTAAATTCTCCTAAGTACACCTTTTGCATGGCAAATCCCTCTTTAATGCACACTTGCAAGATAAAGGGCTGGAAATTATTCTTAAAAAAACAATTAGGCCAGCCTATCCATTAGACATAATCTCTCATCCAAGCTGGTGATTTAGTGTATCTTTTGGGCTTATCATTACCGCCTGGTCCAGAATGGACCTTGTCCTCAAGGTTCACAATGGCCATATCCTACTATGGCAGCAACTGGTTGATGGAATTAGGGAAGTCACAAATCACGATTGTAGTGAATGGTGAAGATGAATTTGTGTTTGTTGGGAACGACCTAGATGAAAACCGCAGCACCCGTGGGGTCAAGTGCAGACACGTGCGTGCTCGCAAAAGCAATGTTGTAAAAAAACCATTATAACGGTGTTATAACTGAATGATGGGGCAGTTTTGGGTCTCTTTGTGATTTGCTATCCGTGATATGGCATTTTGTGGTGTCGTCCGCCGCCATTTTTGCCATGGGGGCGCCATGGTCATTTTGACCCGTTACGTTATGAAGGGTATGGCAGACGTAATGGGTTTAGGATTTTTGAGGCCAGTTTTAGGCTTTGACCCAAGCCCAATTTGAGCGCTTTAATGGATTTTGGGTTCAAGAATGAGAACAGACATGCAACAGCCACCCACCCAAACGCACTCTTGTGACCTTCAATCCGTCTCCGGTGACGTTCCTCCGTTGTCGCCCATCACTCGTTTGTTACCTTTCTGACCGGCAACCTGAACTGCGATGGTCCAACACTCCGACGAGCAACCATGACGCGTGAATAACACTTACAAAATTCGAAACCGCCCCTAATCACCTTCGTTCACTGTTCCTTGGTCCCTTTTTAGGCCGACGACCTAAACCGTGGTGGCCCAACACTCCGACAAGCAACTCTGGCGACCATAGTCAAACTTAAAATTGAACAAGTTTTTTTTTTCAGTTTTAATCCTCCTTTTTTTTTCCTTTCAGTTTTAATCCCCCTTTTTCTTTTATTTTTTCCTACTCCTTTGAGTTCTTTCTTAATGAGTTCATTGTTGTATCTGTAGAAACAATTATTTTAATCCTAATTCTTGTACCAATTGGATCAATTTAAATTCCTATTTTGTTCTAAATTCTAAACTAACATTGAGTTCCTATTATTATTGTCTTTTTCTAATTTTTAGGACAATGTCTAGCAATCCTATTCCAAGCCAAAGTCAAACATCCTCACACTCTATTAAGAAAATAGACATAGGATGGAAACATTGTCATCCTACCAAAGAGAATGACACCAATGAAATTACCTGCAATTATTGTAAAAAAAATCATGAAAGGAGAAATTACAAGAGCAAAGCAACATCTAATGGGAAAGAAGGGAAATGTTGCACATTGTCAAAGTGTTCCACAAGAGGTTAAAGATGAGTTGTGGGCACTTGAAAAAAATGAGAAAATGAAAGAAAGTGAGTCATGCCAAACACTAATGGAAGATGTGACTCTTGGTAGTGAAGATTATACATGGGAGGGAGATTTAAGAGAATTAGAAGTTGAGACACTTGGGGTCAATGAAAGGAAGAAGGTTACTATGAAAAAAGGGGCCTATTAACCTTTTTTGTAAATGTCCGAAAATAGCAATCGCAAAAAATAAGAAGGAGAAATTGAAGCAAATAAGTATAAGGGAGAGTTGTAACAAGGAAGCTACAGCAAGGGTCCGCCAATATATAGCCCGGTTTTGGTATCAGGTTGGACCATTTTTTAACATGATCAAATTGGAGAGCTTTCATGACATGGTTGTAGCTATTGGGTCTTTTGGACTACATTTGTGACCTTCATCTTATCATGAGATAAGAGTTCAACTTCTCCAAATAGTGATGGAGTATACTGAAAAATTGATGGAGTCAAAAGGAACATTAGGTTAGTTTTGGATGTTCCATCATGTCAGATGCTTGGACGGGCAAGAAGCAAAGCTGCATTATTAATTTTTTGGTGAACTCTTCTGTAGTGACAATGTTTGTAAAATCTGTTGATGGGTCTAATTTTATGAAGACCGAACAGAAGCTATTTGGATTATTAGACTCTATTGTAGAGGATATTGAGGAGAAAAATGATGTAGACCAAGTCATCACGGACAATGAGAGTAATTATGTTATTGCTGGCAAGATGTTGGAGGCAAAAAGGAAGAAAAGTTTTTGGATTCCATGTGCAACCCATTGCATAGATTTAATGTTAGAGGACATTGGGAAGCTTCCAAATATCAAAAAAACAATTCAGCGGCAATTTCTCTTGTTGCCTTCATTTATAGCCATTCAAGCACCCTAAGTTTGTTAAGGTTTTATACAAACAAAAGGGAGCTAGTGAGGCATGCGGTGACTCAATTTGCAACATTTTTTCTTTCTTTGGAAAGGATCCACCAAGAAAAACCAAATTTAAGAAAGATGTTTGTTTCAGATGAATGGAAATCAAACAAGTTATCAAAGGAAGCAAAAGGAAGAGAAGCATGTAAAACTGTTTTAATGCCTTCTTTTCGGAGGAATGTAATGTACATACTTAAAGTCATGGCGCCTCTTGTAAAAGTACTTAGGCTTGTTGATGGTGAAAAAAAAAGCCAACTCTGGGCTATATATATGAAGCTATTGTAGACACCCAATTTCGTCCGGGGGCACACAAACAAGGACATGGATCTCTGTTACGAAGGGAAGGAGCTCCCGAAGCATGCCAACGAGAAGACAGGACTTCAGAGGGCCTAAAAGCACAAATTAAATATTTTTATGGGCCTGGAACGGGCCGTTCCAAGGCTCCCAAAAGGCCAAAAACCCTAATTTGGAACGGGCTGTTCCGAGATTGGAACCGGCCGTTCCAAACTCCTCCAAAAAGGGGTAAAAGCTTATTTGGAACGGGTCTGGAACGGGCCGTTCCAAGTCCGTTCCAGACCAATCATGTGTGCTTAATTTGGACCCCAGAACGGGCCGTTCTGAAATCAGAATGGGCCGTTCTGGTTTCCCGGAACGGGCCGTTCCGGTTTCAGAACGAGTCGTTCCAGGGTCCAAATTAACCCACAACGGCCATATCCAGAACAGCCGTTCCGATTTTGGAACGGGCCGTTCTGGTCCCCGTTCCCGAAGTCTATAAATAGACAGTTGTGGCTCATTTCTCCGGACCCCAAAAATTTCGTCCAAAGCTCCTTAGAGCTCGAAATTTCTCTCTTTTTCTCTCTCTTGTATTTCTTGAGATTTTGTGAGGCATTGTAGTGTGAAAGGTTGCCACAAAGCACCTATATTTTTCATATTTGAAGATCTAACAAAGCTTGCTACGAGGTATTTCATTTAATCTTCTTCTCTTTCTTTTACTTCTTATTTTTTTTGTCATAACAAATTAACGCAATCATGTAGATATTTTAGGGTTAGTCGTATAATTTAATTTTTCAATATGTAAATAAATATTAATAAAGGGGATTTAATATTTAATTTATTAATTCTTATCACGTTAACTTCATCATAGGGTACCGATTGAGGGCGTTGTAGGGGTGCTTAATACCTTCCTTACACGTAACCGACCCCCGAACCCAATTCTGGTTATCAAGGCCATTATTGGATCTTTAAAAAACCTTTTCTTTTTCCAATATTTTGAGTAAAATATTGGTGGCGACTCCATGAACCTATTTTCAAAACCATTAATTAAGGATTAGTCTGGTGTCCGGGCATTCCTTAATTGATGAGATCTTTAAAAGGATGTCTAAACCATAGGTCGCAAGATCGGAAATTTTCGGGTTGCGACAGATGGCGACTCCACTGGGGACGTTTAAAGAGGGTCAGGCCCATTTAATTGATGAAGTTAATAAAATAAAAATAATAATTTAAATATTTTTCCCCTTTACTTTGTTTGCTTTATTTGTTTGACTTTAATATTTGTTTGCCTGTTTAAATTCAGCATTTGTTTGGAATAAAAATTGTACACAATCCTTTGCACACAACAGTTCCCCCTACACCCGGGGGCATGAGGGTAATAAACATAGGGAGTGGTTGACGTACGACCGGCCCAAGTTTGGCCTTGGAGCCTGCGAGCCTTGTCGGAAATCACACTCAAGGTGATAACCGGTTACTCTAGCCCGAAATACTGCGACAGACCTTAGAGTTTGCCAGGTGACGGCGACAGAGATACTGGGTCCCTATAATGGGGGCACCTTGGGGGCCTTAAGACCAGTGAGATTAGAACTATCCTATACAATGCACTTTTCTTGTAGGGACCAC